AAATTAGAAGAAATGTGCACTATTTTTAATTACAGGAAATGCGTTTTTCTAAGGTGCATAAACTTTTGGGATTGACTTTACTCTATAGCCAATACATCCTTAAGCGACGTTACAAGAGATCTAAAAAAACTGATGGAAAATCATTCAGTTAAATCTGAATTGTACGATTCAATAATATTCTATATTAAACTCCACCAAAAAGTTATATCAGGAATTATTTTCATAATTAAATTCCGACGATGACGAATTGATCCGTCTTACCAAATAGTTTTTATCGGTGCAACCGTATTTCTGGTTCCCGCGAGGAGTCACGCTCGATGGACGTTCCTCGGTTTTGCGTAGAGCCACTCCCCGCGTCTATTTGCTTACGCGAAAGACCGATACGGTCCAGTCACGGTAGGCGTAATCAAAGAAGTTTTAGTGAGATCTCTCCCTTTTTCCCGGATATGATACAAGTTAATGGTAATAATAAGAGGAACGATGCTCGAGCCGGACTCGATTGGCTCCTGGTCCACGAAACTGGTGGAGTTTCTTCAGGGTCCAAGCCAATCCCGACATGTTCCTGATCTAAAAATACATTTTGAACCGGTAGAAGGAGATCCGGAGACACCCCTTCGAGCAGAGGAAAAGATATGTATATAACTCATTCAGCAGTGCACGCTGACTCTTCCGCCCGGGCAGATTCTTGAAGAAAGTTAACGAAGAAACCGTTTCACCCGAGATACTAAAACATCTGCATCGACGATCGATGAGGTGATCATTTCACATTGACAATTTTGTGCCAAACATGTGAATTTTCATCGGGTTCTTATTTTCATCTCCACGTTTGTTCAATAATGAAGTTTTTGTAAAAGAAACCGGGGACCGTCGAATCGTTAATAAAATTTCGTGGACGAAGATTTGAGATGAAGACCGAAAGTGGTAATTCGAATCAAGTGAGTTCTGGGATTGAGCAACGTTTGCGTAGCCCGAAGTGCGCCAGGTGCAGGAACCACGGTGTGATTTCCGGTCTGAAGGGACACAAAAGATCGTGCGCGTGGAAGGATTGCCGTTGTCCTTGCTGTTTACTGGTAGTCGAGAGGCAAAGGGTGATGGCAGCGCAGGTTGCGCTCAGAAGACAGCAACAGGCTCAAGGAAATTTCTTCGGCGAGAACGCGGTTTCCGCTGTGTGTCACACGCCGATCGACGCACCCGGTTCACCGTATCTGTTGAAGACCGAGCAACCCGCCGCATGCCGAAGGGGAAAGAACTTCCCGCGTCATCAACTGCATTTCACTCAGACGAGCATCAGCGTGACGCAGGGATTCTATGGATTGAAGGCGATACACGGTCTACCCGCAGCATGTTAGTAGATATATAAATTTTCTGTTTGAATATATTCTTCAGGGTGTCCCAGAAAAAGTGTTAGAACTGCAAAGGGGTGATTCCATAGGTATTTCTGTACAACAATTTCCTTTGGCGAAATTCAAAGTGAGCATAGTTTTTGAATTATTGACGAGACACCGACCAATGAGAGTGCGAGTAGGGCCCGCGCTCAGTTGCGGGCGCATTGGCTCGGATCGTAACATTCGGCCGTGGCTCAGCGCGGGCCCTACGCGTACTCTGAATGGTCAGTGTTCTCTGTTAATAATTCAAAAATTGAACAATTTTTAATACAAATTTCGTGATGCCATGAATTTTTTTAATAGTACTTTTAATTTCTAATTCGCAAAAGAAATGACAATTTCATCTAAAACGAAGATTATAACGTGTATAGCGACGGTTCTGTATAGTGAAAATCTCTTCTTATTCCAGTTACCGCGGATGCTCCATTGTTAAATGGTTTGTCACAGAATCAGGAATATAAGCAAGAAGCCGAAGGTTCCAAAAAAATGCAGCCTTTTCCACCTATGTATTCCACCATCCCGTGGTTTGAACAAATCACGGAACCCCGGAAGATAAAGAAAAACTTTAACGATGATTTTACGTCTGCCGCGAGCGACCACAATATTCCCACGACTAACAGCGGATCCTGTTTGGAAAAGAAATCAACTATCTCCTTCAGCGTCGAATCTATCATCGGTACGAAGTGATACAAAAGAAATGATTGCATTTCATTATTGTAAATAAAGATCAATAGTTTGTTAGACCTTATTAACTTATGAGGAATAAACATAAAACGTGTGAAAGCTTCTCGGGATTATTTTCCTACAAAACGACAGCTGGAAGTCTTTTTTTATGTACCCAGTAAATAAACTGTGCCTCTCGAATTAACTTGTTACGTGTATTTAAAATACAATACAGTGTATTAACATCGTAATATTATAATAAACTTATGTAATAAAGAATATTTATATAAAACTTAAATATATATTGCTTTATTCTAATTTATTATTGCAAATATTTTAAACGCGCTAAAAATGTCCAGATAACAAATACGTAGGTAGTCTATTCTATGATGTGTCAATCGAATCAGTAAAGTTTACGTGAACACATAAAGAATATATATGTCTGGTGATCCGTACAAATTCAAGTGAGCATTGTGAGCTTAACAATAGAATAATGGAATAATTCCTACTGATAAGGTAGACTGTACAAATTATTTATCGCCCTCAAGCGTTTCGCTGCAATGTTTCATGTACGTGTCCATCTCAGAAAAATCTAACAAAGTGGTGTGAATAATATCATACAAAATACTTGGCCATGTGTCTTCAAGTAGTTGCAACTTGTGTATCGCATCTACGGTGAGGTTTATCAACTCTAATAAATGTAGTTTACCTCTGTGTCTCCAGATAAGGTCTTCCTGCAATAGAAATGGGTTGAAGTTAGATCAAGTTCAGATTTTCTGTCGCTTGTTTATTGCTACCTGTGTTATGGTGCCTTTTCTCCATTGCAACGCCTCCTTAGCAACGACGCTTCTGAGGGCTGGATCACTGTTGAGTAAAAATTGTTTGGCAGTAATTTGTTCTCCAGTTTGCCTCTGCACTCTTTCTAAATGAAGTCTCTGCAGTAAAGGTTGTAACAAAGATTCTGGCAGTGAACACATCACGATATCTACGAGACCAGCGTATTCTTTGTTCGCTAAATCGATTTCTTCGTTCGTGATCTGTTATAAAAATTCAATTTGTAACACGAGCGTATGATCCATAATTTTACTAGCCGAGGGATATTTACTTCTTTTCCATTGATAACTTTTAAGCCCCAATGAGCTAAACGGAATACAGCATAAGTTTTCCAATCCTTTGAAATGATCGGGTTTCCAGTTTCAATATTGATACTAGTCAATCCTTGTATTTCAGCTAAAGCGTTCAGTTGTCCCAGGTAACTGATGTTAGTTTCTTTAAACGTAAAATGTTCCACGTTTGGAAATCGATTTTTTACTTTACACAAAACTTTGGCCACGTCGTTGAACTGTACATAATTAAATTTAACTACGTTTACGTCCTGAGCTTTCGATACGTCCCACGGCCGATCGATAAAACGCAGAGCGCCTTGGCCGTAAACATTTAAACAGCGGCCAACAATTTCTATCAAATAATCTCCACCTATAAAAAATGATAAGCTTTACGTTCATGTGTCGATGTTACGTGTCACAGCTATTCTTATTCTTTACCTTGCTCTCTTTCTTTCGGCGGATTCTGCAATGGCACTGGACTCGGTGGTGTTGTAGCTCTATACTTAGCTCTGGCAGTCGCTGCTCTATTACTTTTGTAACATACCATTTTTTTTACCTGTGCGCTTTTTACCCTGTTCTTATTTTTCTCTGAAGTCTTGTATTTTTGTACCGCGCTTTTATTAGTAGGCGATGTACTGGAATCGCTTAGCACTGATTTACAACTATCAATGCTGTTGGTTTTAGAGCTTAAGGAACAGTACCCGGAAGAACCGATACTCGATTTAGATTGGCAATCGCTGAGACCGTGTTGATTCAGAAATTTTATGCTCGACGATTTCGATAGATCCTTTTCGTCCCTTGCCGACGACTTGGGAGATTTAAATATTTCATAGCACTGATTTTCTATATCACTTGCAATTTCTGATGGCGACAAAACATTCACAGGATCGAACGTCTTGTCAATAACTATTTTGTTAACGTTACAAGGGGAAATGTACTGGTTAGCATTTAGCAAATGAGAATTGAAACAAGTTTTCAAATTCTCCTGATTTTCCAGAGCTTCCGAATCACTGCTTGACGAGTCAGTGTCGCATTTAGACTTCATCTTAGTTAAATTCTTTCTTATTTTCTCGTCAATCTTATTATTTATTAAACTATCTACGATGGAATCTAAAATTGGTGGAAGTTTAAACTCTAATGGATACGGCTTAGTTGTGTCCTTCAATCTAAATAAATTGTCACTCGAATTACTTCTTTTCTTTATATTTATCTTGGTAGCTTCTATGTTTTCATTTATGGACGTTAAGCTACCAAATCCTTTCGACTTCACCCTTTCCAAGTTCTTAACTTTCAGCATATTAAATTTATTCGACTTCTGGATTTGCGTCGCATTAATATTACTATTTCGAGTATTGTTCTTATTGCTGTCGTTTGCGGACGACTTTGAATTACATCTGAGAAGTTCCCAATTTATTTTGGCGTTCGATATAATTTCTTCTCGCCGAGCGTTCATACAGACTTGCGCGGTGAGACTTAGAAACGCGGAATTATTTTGTTCTTTTGTTGTTCTCCAGGCCATGGCAGCCCTCCTAATTTGCTCAGTGATCGGCATGGCTGATAAAAATTGTAAATTAGGTAAATATGACACGAGGAACGAGATGTAATCCCCGTTCAACGTTATAGGATTTCCATCAATTGTTATTTCACGAAGTTGTAACGCCTTAGCGAGACTCCCTATGTCCTCAATTTTCTGGATGTCATTGTTACTGAGGTACAACTTCTGTAACTGTAGTGTTTCATCGAATCCTGATAATCTCTTTATTTTATTACGTCTCAGATTCAACTCCTTTAACGATGCTAAACCTCGAAAATCATGCTGTCCTATCGTTTTAATGTTGTTCCCAGCTACGTTTAGAACTTTTAAGGATGCAAGATTATTTAAATCTGAGATCTGCACAATCTGATTGCCATGTAGGTCTAAAACTTCCAATTTCGAAAGCTGCTTTAATCCTTCAATTTTCTTTATCCTATTCTTTCCAATCAATAGTACTCTTAAATTTTCTAAGACCTCAAAATTACATATCCTTTCAATCTGATTATCATACAAATCGAGAAATACTAGTTTCGATAATTGAAAGAAACTGGAATTCTCAATCCTTGTGAGGAGATTGTGCTGAAGAGATAGCAAACGCAAACGGGGCTCTCCAATTATGTTTGGGAACGTGGTGAGTCCTCTTCTGTCCAGACACATTCTGTCAGGATTCTTCTCCTTCTCAGCAGCTGTTCTCGTAGCCACCACGATCTTTCCTTCGCTTGTCCATTGTAAAGAAACTGTGGTAGAACTATCAATCCTATCATGTTCTATGTTAATTGGTGAGCCTGTTGAACTATAAATGAAATTTATACAAACTTTTGTCAAATACAAAGATTTGATTTGTTCCAATATACTGATACAATAATTATGTGAATACCTGAGTGAATTATAACGTTTGTTCAATTTTGGTGGTATGGGAGCTCCAGGTAAAATAGGTAAAGCAGGAGCAATCGTCAGGAAATTGTCTTGATGATTCTTTTGAGTTTCTACCAATTTTCCCTTAATTCCTCTTACACCGAAACCTATTGTTTTCGTCTATAATATATTAAATTACTTGTTTGTTCACTCTGCAGAATATTGTGGACTATGTCACTTGTAAATTTTATAAATGAAGTTGAACGTACCCGCGTTACTCTATCGTTGCTTACTGGCATTACATAACCGAAACATAAAAGAATAATTAATACACCAATGACTTTATTCATTTGAAGTAAAATACTGAAACGTTCTCAATCCGTGACGAATCATTATGATATCGAATCGTGACGAAAGTAATACTGTATAATGTGAGCATAAGTTTATTTATTGTTTGTCATTGCGCATTTGATCTCGTTACCGTCGTCAACATTCAAAAGTACCGCAGTATAAGTGCGCAACTATTTACGTAATAATAAAAGCGTACGAGTGTTATAATAAATGGAATAAAAATTAAAACTCGAGGTTTCGACGATCTTACAGTCCATTTTTGTAATTATACAATGTTTATTTGCATTCGAACTCGTATTCGATCAACGTAGTTCCAATGCCGAAAATATCGCCGCTGCTTCGTACCGACTTCCTTTCCACGACGTGCGTTCCCAACATGCAGAAGGTGGGTTTTGTTTTATCGCGAGATCAATAAATTTGTTGTGCTACACGTGAGATTAATTCAAGTTTCGACGCCAAGTTTAACATGCAATTATCTCTTTTCAGAAACAAAAAGAACCGATACAGTCGGTGCAAGTCTTCGGACGCAAAGTGAGTGTTTACAGCATTAATTGTGGTTAGGCGTGCGCGTGTTTCTAACACGTTTGTATTTACAGAAAAGTGCAACCGCGGTCGCCTACTGCAAACGAGGCCGTGGAAATCTCCGAGTAAATGGACGCCCATTGGAACTCGTCGAGCCTCGCGTGCTCCAATATAAATTGCAAGAACCGATCTTGCTACTGGGTAAAGTGAGTATGGCTCACTGAATTCTGGACTTGCTTTGTACATACACTTATATGAAAAATGCGACACATTCAATTTTTCCATCTTTACTGCTTTCCATGCGTCACTGCTAGTAGAGTGACATGTTTTGTACCTACTTGTGCGAATTGGGTCCGGAAGCCCTTGTCACACATACTTAATTAAACTCAAAATATGTACATTGCTTTCAATGATACAAACACAACATTCAAGCCCTCGATGATGTTTCCTTATTCCGAACATGATAATCAGTGATTAAAGAAATAAAATTACTGAGATATATCATTGTATATTTCTTCTATCAAGTATTAATTCATTCAAGTGTCATTCAATTGTATATTGTATTTTGCAGGAAAAATTCTGTGGAGTTGATATCAGAGTAAGAGTAAATGGTGGTGGCCACGTAGCTCAAATTTATGCTATTCGCCAAGCCATTTCCAAGGCTCTGGTTGCGTACTATCAGAAGTGTAAGTATATACATCTTAATTATATGAATGGTTCATGAACGTATCACTATGTGAATCATTTTATTCTAGATGTCGACGAAGCAAGCAAGAAAGAGGTAAAGGATATTCTCATTCAGTATGATCGCACTCTCCTGGTTGCGGACCCGAGGAGATGCGAACCAAAGAAGTTTGGTGGTCCAGGTGCCAGGGCAAGGTACCAGAAATCGTACCGATAATGTCTACGAATTCCATTTTATTCATATTAAATAAAGACTATTAAAAAACAAATTAGTGTTCTAC